TTGGAAAATTAGTTTTGGGACTACAAATTTTACAATCCCCTAGTTAGTATGGCCATGATAGTTGTGGGATTTTAGGAGCTGCAATCTAAAATAACTTTTCCAGGTTTTGCTACCAGTGGCAAGTGACTTAATTTTTGGGGTGATATTTACAAGTTCCAGCATTTAACTTGCATTCCTCCTTTCACTTAAAGTAATAGACACACATATCCAACAAACCATGTGACATTTGCCTAAATATCTTAAAAAGAAGAAGAATAGTAGAAGTAAAAGAGGAGTCACTACTTTAAAACACATAGAAGTATGCGTTGTTGACTGGTAATGCAGCTTGAGTCAAGCCACTAAGAAATACATAACACTGTGTAATCCTTATTCAGAGACAGAAGTGTCCATAAAGTGATAATAACTCAAGGTATTTTATCTCTTTGTGTCCTTAGGCTAAGTGGAAAAAAAAGGGGGGGACACTCCTGAAACTAAACTGAATGGTTTTCAATATTATTTTAGTTGTCTGAACCAGATTTCAGAGTGATTTCTGTGGAATCTAATAGAGAATAACAGACACACTTTTCCTCTCTTATTGAAAATCCATCTTACTGCTGGATTCCACCCCACCCCCCCTTGCTGTTTATTAGACACAATGAAAAACTAACAGTTTACAATGCAACCTGCCTGATTCTGAAAACTGGAATGTATTTTAGGCTGACTTGGAATGAGCTCTTATGAAATGCCAAAGGATTGCTAGCTGGATGTGTCTACTCAATTGCCCATTTATATTCATTTGTGGAAACTTGCTAAAACACATCACATCTTTTACATTTAGTGTACTGCTGAGAGCTTTAGGACTGTACCTGACATAAAGCCACAATATATTAGATCCTTTCTTATTGGTTTGCTTGTGTATACATAATATTTTATTTCACTCTTCTTCCAGTCTTTAACACCGAGTGACTAAAAAATTATACATACTGATGATAGCCATGAAGTACAAAAAGAAAATCACAGGGTTTAAAAGACGCCAAAACAGTTGTTGCAGAATTCACCAGGAACAAACAAAGACAGTACATATCAAAGTCCAAAAGCCTCAACAGATAAAAATGATTTCTGTTTCTGTGGGGACCGACCTAAGATTACCTTAAAGGGAAATCTATAGAAATCATCACTTTCCTAATTTCTGCTGTTGGTGGGAAAATAAACAAGGCATTCTCTGCTGATTGTAAGACAACGTGGAAGTGGGGATGGTGGTTTCTCAGGCATTTGGACTCAATAACAGGCAGTTTACAGGTTCTGTACTGGTATAGTATGACATAGTAGTTTGAGTGATTATGACTCTGGGAGACAAGGGTTCAAATCCTTGCTCAGCCAGATCTTAGGCAAGTCAGCTTCAAAGGCAATAGCAAGACTCCTATGAACAAAATCTTGCCTAGCAAACCCCATGATAGAGTTACCCTAGGGTCACTATATGTTGGAAATGACTAAAAGGCACACAACAAATATAGGTAAAAAATATAACTGATCAGAATGTCAGTATTCCTGTAATCTGGGGTGCAAAACATATGATTTAAAATTTCTTGGCCTTTTTTGATTATGTCTAACTCTGTCTAATGTTATGCCTGACCCTGTGTATTCTTTTGTTGCTGGGTGAAGCATCCACAGATTGTCCTCATCAGAATTCTTTTGACATGGAAGAGAATTCCTTTTTGAAGAACAATTCTTTTCAAAATTATGTGCTAATTATACATTATAAAAGAAAAAGGTGACACAGCTGTTTGGGAAAGATATTTTGGATTACAAATCCCAGAATTTCCTAGCTAGCATGGCCATTCTGGATATAATAGTCCAACATAATATATAACCTTTCTAAGTTCTGTTACATAGGCATTCAGTGTTGACTGGTGCAATGCTCTTCAAAGGCTAGCAACTGAGAACATGTACTCAATTTTCTAGCAAAAGGGTCTGCCAGATCTCATAGACATGGACAATCCAGTGTTTGAGCTACATAACTTTAAGCTGCAGGAGGTGGTTTGCTTGACGTACATTTGAAATACTATGTCCCCTTGGATTCCTAACTACATGGATGAAATATCTCCATGTGTATCATAGTATGCATCAAGTCTCCACTCATATTTCAAGATTTTTGTACAGGAGAAGGAGTGGACCTTGCACTGATTGTATGATTTGAATCTTCACCTTATGGAAGAAAATAGGAAAGACAGACATTTTGAAATTGGCTAAATTAGGACTTTACAGTCTTTTCTTAAGTGATCTTTCTCTTTCTCTCTCTCTCTCTCTCACACACACACTTTCCCAGTGATATAGAAGCATAGAACCTTAGAGTTGGAATAGGTTGCAAGGACCACCTAGTCTAACCCTTTGCCATGTAGGAATACATAACCAAAACACCCCTGAAAGAAGTTTAAACATCTCCAAAGGAGAGTCTACCATCCTCTGGGGCAGTCTATTCCACAGCTGAACAGTTCTTACAGTAAAGGAATTCTTCCTAATATTTCAATGAAATATAATTTGAATCCATTTGTTCTAGTCTCTGGAGCAGCAGAAAACAAGCTCACTCCATCTTCTAATATGGCAACCCTCCAGCTATTTAAAGATGGCTATAGTGTCACCTCTCAGCCACCTCACCTCACCTCACCTCACCTCACTGTTGCCTCATGTTTATTCTATGGCCTACTGTGAGACCCATAGATCCCTTTCACAAGAACTGCTTCCAAGCTAGATGTTCTTTTACAAACATTTCAAGGATAAGCAAGATTTTCATCATTTGAAGTATCAGCAGAACTCAATGCAACTTGCTCAAGAAGAACCCTGTTGGATAAGATCAAAAAACTTTTTGAACCCAGTATTTTAGCCAACCAGCAGCCTATGTAAAACCCAGAAGCAAGTTATGAATGGAAGAACATTCCCCTGGTTATATTCCTCAGGCATATTACATCTGATACTGAATGTAATATACAGTCATCATAAATATTCCACTACATTGGGTAGTATGTTTCACTAGGCATACACATGACAGTGAGTGTATGTTCCAACACTGCTTCTCCACCAGGGGAGTAAAAAAAGGCTACATGTTGGTGAGTAACTAATATTTTGTATTTTTGTTGTTGCTGTTGTTGTATGCCTTCAAGTTGTTTCCAACTTCTAGCATTTTTTAAAATTTTATTTTATTAAAAAAATATTTTTAGGAAATTCTACAGTGAGGAAGAATTTATCCATGCTTACATTTCTGAAGAGGCAGTATATAATTTTATGTACTGTTTTGTCTTTTCAGAGGGACTTTTTGTCATTTTAACCTTACTAGAGAATCCTATTTGTGTTCCAATTAGTAGAATTTGAATGAATTGATTTACTCCTTCTGCATCCTAAACGTGTCAGACATGGCTAGCTAAACAGCAGATTAACAATGTTAGATTGATTTTTAGTTTGCTCTTAAATCCAAGTCTAAATGAAAAGCTGAATTACTTTAAAACAGCTACCTCAAACCTTGTGCCTTCCTAGATATTAGACAACAATTTGTAGTGCTGGCTAAAAATGGTGGGAATTGTAGCCAACATCTGGCCAGAGGTGGGTGGCAATAAGGTTGGGGAACGTTGTACTGGAAAGAGGAAAAAAAATCATGTATAAACTCATGCTAACTGTGGTTTGGATCCATCTGCTCTCTTTTCATAGCATCTTTATGCATTTTCCTTGTCTGAAAAACTAGGTCCATAATCCAAAGATGTAAGCTTTTTTTTTTTTTTTTACTAGAATTGACCCTGTCTCTTACTTGAAAGAGGCTAGCCCTCTGAAGGGCTTTACAGACCAAATTATATGGGTCTGTGATAGAAATAAATACAGTCATTCATTCAATTTAAAAATAAAAAACCACAAGAATCAAAAGCCAGGGTTCTTGAAGTTGCCCCTCAACAGTTAATATCTGGACAGGAGGCTGAGCAGGCACACTGGTCATATGGCCACAGTCGAGCTATACTGTATTTAAATAAACATATTCTTTTCTCAATTTGCTTCTACATATACATTTTCATATGTACATTTTAAGCAAATTTGTGCCTCCTTTTGTGCTTTTTGTGTGGCAGTGGCCACTCTCAGAAAATCATCTCCCAAGTGGCTTGTCTCTCATACAGCTTTCTACCGATCAGCAGGCTGTGTAGCAAAAGCTGACTCACTGCTGTTTGTCTTTTATGTACTATTTCTGAAAGGTACAGTAAACGTTTAGTGATTAAAAGCTCTCCATTTAATCCTGTATCTACTACAGATTGGGGGAGGTATGACCTTCCTCTCTTGTACTTTTGCAATAATGCATATTTAACTTTAATCCTCTCCTGGCCTCTGCTTTGTACCATGAGTTGATCTTTTGCTGCTCATTGTATTTCTGGGTTCCCTTAAAAGTGCAGTATGTTAAATGGATTGCTTAGTGAATTCTTAAAAGGGGTGGTAGCGGTGTGCTAATCTGTTTAAGGCATGCCAACCAAGAGCATGCTTGCAATGGCCTGGTTTAGCTTTCCATACTAGAAATAGGATTGTGGGGAAAACCATCCTCCTCAGTCCTGGACAATCTGGGGACAGGGGCTATATGAACTGGGAGAATCTGGATTTCTATCACATTTGCCTTTATGGGAATTGTGCCCTGAATTTGCCAAGGAAACAAGCCAACTTGAATGTATGAAGGGGAAATTCTTGGGGATTGGGGATTATCTGGTAAAGATTTCATTCCCTTCAACTCTGGCCAAATAAGGGAAATGTGTGAGAACTGGATATACCAATCAAGGAACTGTCATTGCACCAAAAGGCCAAACACTATTTCCTGACTTCTGTAAAAACTTGAAGACCTGCCTTTTGTTACAACGGACTACTTACAGCAATAGCAAATACATTTCTATACTGCTTATCAGTGCACTTAGGCACTCCCTAAGCAGTTTATAACTGTAAACGAATTCCCCCCAACAAGCTGGGTACTCATTTTAGTGACCTTGGAAGGATGCACGAGCCTGAGCCCCTGGCTGGGATTGAACTCACAACTTTGTTATTGATTGGCTAAAGTACAAGCATTTAACCACTGTGCCACCAGGGCTCCTTAGGCTTTCTTCAAGAGATGATAATCTCTACATAATGTTTTTCCATGTACAGACACATGAACTTGAGTTTATTGTTTTATAGGACTAGGAACACATGGTTATAAGATCTATTCAATTTTATACCCCAGGGAATGCTATTGTAGGATTCTGTGACCATCTACAATGGTGATGTGGTAGTTGGCCAACACCTCCATCCGCCAGCATACCACCAGAGTGAAGAAGAAAGTAAGATACCTCATTCTGGCTGCGTAACATAGGGGTAGTCTAAGGACGATCATGGTTTGAGTGAACATTGTCAAAGGAGCAGGGACATGAATAGTGGGCCCTTGGCATCTGCTGAGATTTGGTTCCAGGGACTCCCGTGGATACCAAAATCTGTGGATGCTCAAGTCCTATTAAATACAATGACATAGTAAAATGGTGTCCCTTATATCAAGGTCTGTTTTTTGGAATGTATATATATATATATATATATATATATATATATATATATATATATATATATATATATATATATATATATATATATAAATATTTTCAAGCCATAGATGCTTGAATCCATGGATAAAGAATCCATGGACATAAAGGGCTGACTGTATTCAGCTTTCAAGTAATGGTCCACAATGAGGAAGCTTTAGCTATATTTTCTTGATAATAATATAATAATAATAATAAAATTTATTTCTATCCTGCCCCTCTGCAGCGCAATCTGGGTGGCTTACAATTAAAATTACAATAAATACATACAACCCCAAAACTCCACCCACCCCTTAAAAATTATTAAACTTAAACAATTAAAAACATTTTAAATTAAATCACAGCATAAAAACAAAGCATCACGACAGCAGCAGCATAGAAAGGGAGAAGAATTAGCTAACTCTTGGGCTGGGATAATTATTCAGGAAAGGGTTGGGTTGTCCATCTTGAAGAAAAACATGCTCCTATTCTTTTAGATGACTGCAGGTTTGCAGACACAACAAACTCTGAGGATTAAAGATCGGAAGAGAGAAGGAAAAGAACACATGATAGGTGACACCATCTGACTTTCATCAAAAATTGGGTTGTCCATCTTAGTCCTTTCCCATTGTAAAAAAAAAATCCCCTTTGACTTTTAATAGTGTCTGTCTTGTGGAGGTAAATTAGCTCATTTTGTTGAGTTGCTGCTCTCTGTCTCTCATTCTCCCTCTCATTCTCTCTCTCTCTCTCTGTCTCTCTCTCTCTCTCACACACATACACAGAACTGTTCTTCAAAACTGTTCCTCTCAGAGTCAGCATTGTGAGGCTGGCAACATTTGTTCTGAATGATCTGGAATGGGTGTAAATAAAGAATGAGAATGGGATGACATCATGTGAAGTTTTATGAAGAAACTTTCACCACATGGCAATAAATGCATGTTTTAAAAAATGAGAAAATTGGGTTAAACAAGTGGCCAGAGGAAGCTGTAGCCTGTGACAAACTGAAGTAGGCTTATTAGGACCAGGGGGATCTTCTGATTTCCTTCCTTCCTTCCTTCCTTCCTTTACAAGATACACAAAGAAGTTGTAAAAGGCAGACATGCAAAAGGAGAAATTGCATTAGTCTAAAATAAGTAGCTTATGGCTGAAACCTGAGTACCACAGGGATCTCTGTGGGACAGAAATGAAATACATATAAGAAGAATAAGCCAGCTTTTTTATGGCTCCAGGTCCATAGCTTAGGGAATATATCTATATATATTACAGCTCCCAGAATCCAATAGCCACCTGTGGGATTCACACTGCTGTAGTTAAACAAGTATCTTTTTGCTAACTTGGTATAGGTGGTAATGCATAAGAACATCAACAGAATCCTGTTGGATCTGTGCAAAGGTCCATCTTGCCCAGTATCCTGCTTTCCATGAGTGGGCAGTCATATGCCTTAGTGAAGGCCACTAGTAGTAGTTATTTCCTTCTGTTGCTGTCCAGCAATTGGTACTCAAAGGCATGCCAATGTAGAAAAATAGTATGCACCACATTTCCTTCCACAGATTGGTTTAATAGTCCTTAAAAAAGCTAAACAACTGAAGTTAGTGGCAATCACTGTGCATTCCAGAGTTTGGAAAACTACTTCTATGGACTAAACTTCCTTTGAGTTCCCTAGGCAGCATGGCCAGTCCCCATGCTACTGGGGCATTCTGGATATCAAAAAAGTAATTTTTCCAAGCTGTCCCACACATTCATTGGCCTAAATCCAATTGCTAGTCCCAACAAGAGTAGATCTATTGATTCAATGGGATTTACATACATGTTGACTTGACATTCAGGAATTGATTAAGTGGATCTACTCAAGCTAGGGTTCACAATCAGATTTAGGCCTTTATGCACTGGGTGGAGGCCTAGCAATGTGAGTGGCCCTGATTCTTGCATTGGAAGGGACGATTCACAAGGTAGGCAAAAAGGTCTAATTAAAACAGGTAGGAGGAATATTATATAGGAAAACAGGATCTGGAGGCCTGATTGAGAAGATTTCAGGATTAGCAGAGAAGTAAATGAAGTTTAGGAAATGGCACAAGGAGGAAGTTGAGAAGAAAACAAAATTTGGAACCAAGAACAAACCGAGAGGAAAATTGCATGCCACTACATCTCAAAGACTGAGTAGTGAAAGGAAAAGCCACTGAAAAGTTGCATTTGTACATTACAGAGATGTGTTTGATAATGATGATACACAATCCAGTAAGGATTAAACTATTCATGGAGCAGAAGGAGGAGGCAAACTAGTTCTTGGCTTCCCTCCTGCAATACCCATAAAACCAAATTAGGTTTATAACTTTGCATTAAATTAAATATGTTATTTTATACAAGCACTTACAAAAGACTTCTAAGTATCCAATAACTGTTTTCTTTATTCCCTTGTTAGTAGCTGACACTTTGGCAGTGTTCAGGCGTGCGCCAAGTTGATTTAAAGCATTGATTTTCAGTTGGCACACATCCCTCCATCCTCAGACAGAACTGATTAGCTTAGCAGGAAAACAGCACTTAACTTTGCATTGTCTGTTGGATTTTGCTTGTCTCCCTTTGAAGGATGTCTGCAATGGCAGATGGCTAGGAGAGATCTGACTGAGTGGCTGCTCGCATGCAACCAGAAATTACCCCTCCATGTATGAAGAATCAAGCCAACACTGTTCTTTTGAATATGCACAGCTTAGGAAAGTTACATTTTTGGACTACAACTCCCAGAATCTCAACATAGGCAATGAACAATATGGCTAAGGATTCTGAAAATTATAGTCCCCTCAAGTAAACTTTTCCAAACTCTTGTGATTGCCCCTTAGATAGTCAAATGGTGGCACTTATTTGTATAATTGAAAACTACAGTATAATTAAGTAGTCAGCTTGAGTCCTGGAGAGGGCTTTCGAAACTAAAAAATGTACCAGGAGCTCATCATTTCAGACAGTGCAACAACACACACTGGACTCATCTTTCTTAATGAAATCCCTTCCAGAACCTATCATTCCAAAAAATGGTTGTAGTCCAATAACACTGCAAGATCATATGGTGCCCTGTCCTGTTCTAGCATTTTCTCTATGTTGATATTTCTTTTATTAGGTGAACTTAGTCTTATCAATAATCAATTCTTACCTAACTTCCTTGGTCTCAGCCTGGTTACCCAGTCCTCAGTCTACCCACATCTGCAAAGCACAGCCCAAGACAGAAGAAAGAATGCAGGCATTTAAAAGGACCACATTTTTGTTTTATCCATTACGCAGTACCTGATATGCTTTCCTGAATACACAAATGTTAATCCTCATATTCAACAGAATACTTATTGGATAATTCCAGCTGCATAAGTGTTTGGAATATTGAATCTTGCAGTAGTAGAAATAATGATCAACAGCAATGTAATGAACTGCTTTCCCATGATGCAGTAAAGAGGAAATAAAAGTATTATATGATCAATTCACTCATGATCACACTCTCTTCTCTATCTCTACAGGTCCTGAAATATCTAGTTTGCTTCTCTGCCCCTCAGCCAAGGGATACCAGTGAAAAGATCCTCTGGAAAGATCAACACCACAACTCTTTTTAAATAATGTTTTCCATCTTCCATGATACTAGTGCTACTCCACTCAGACATACTGATCATTACTGTAATTATACAGTAAGTGATCCCATTCACTAAAGTATGGCTAAGCTTCCAACTATATTGATAAAAATATGTGAGATTCTTATATGTGGCAAAGCTGGAGACTGCATTAATGCCAAGAAGCTTTTAGGCTTAAAAAAAAAAAAAGGGGGGGGGGAAAGAAAGCAAGTGAGAAAAAAAGCAGGTTAGTGTCAGATTGAATGCTTGTTCTCAGATCTATCTTTCGACTGACAACCATCACTACCACCAAACACCAAAGTAATAATGAAAATAATTTCTCCATTACTTTGTTTGTTGTAATTGTGTGTTTCAAGTTTACCCTGATTTATGGTGACCCACTCATAGGCTTTTCTTGGCAGGAGTTATTCAGAGGAGGTTTGCCATTGACTTTAGGACAAGAGAGTATCCGCCACATTACACATTTTTACATGTTGTTAAAGACTGCAGTGGCCCTTGGTCATGTATCAGCTTAGAAGCAAATGGCCTAATTTGTGTTCTCTGCAGCCACTGATTCTATGAAATTTGGACTAGCCATCAAGTTTTGCATAAGATAAGAACATTCTACGCTGCCTATACAGATGGAAGACTATTCCCACTCCCCAAACCATACCTAGTTGGTATTCTGAACTTACCATGTGCAGGTCCTAAGAATTCTTCAAGAACAACCTCTGATCTAATGGGTCCTGTCCCACAGACTAGCAGGGTTGCTGTGTCAGACTAAGGTATTACAGTGTCAAAAACAGCAGCAGGAACTACCGGAATAGGAAGGACTTGTTTAATGAGGTACTTCTGGGTGGGTTATTAGCACACCATTTGTGTAATTGTCCATTATATCAGTGCTTCCTTGCTATTTCTTGCTGAACATATCTGGGGATCAGGATTCAGCACCTCAG